GCCTACTCGTACCACTACTCCTCTTCTAGTGGCGCCTCCATCCACTCCTCCGGGAACATGAGTCCGAGTCCGGCTGGCTGGCTGGCTGTCGGGTCGAGAGTTGCGGAGTGTTCAGTCTGAATGCTCGAGGGCCTTCAATTGGGCCGATCCAGGGGGTGCCGGGCAGTGCGGCGGTGGGGAGAGAGGGTGGCAGATGTGGGGGGATTTTTGGAGTAGGTGTAATTGCTGGTCTGCTGCGGCCGGGCCCAAAAGTTAACAACACAATTTCGTTGGCAAATAAAAAACAAGTTAGTTAATCCCACAACGTGTTGAATTTAATCAGTGACCAATTTTTCACTTACCTCTCCGTCCCAATCGGAACCACTTGCCCCACCACCCCCTCTTCACCACCAACTTTTTTTTCGCCCGCATTTGGTGGAAATTTTCGGTTAGATGAACGCCCTGGGTCATCATGTCGAGCGGATGCTGCTGCAGAGCTCCCCCCCCCACTCTGTTGGGCATTGTGTGTGTGTTTGTGTTTGTGTGTGTGTGTGTGCTCCCCTTAACCTTTCTTTGAGTGCCCCCTTTGCCGCAAGGATCCCTTTGCACCTCTCCGTCAACCTAAAACCTCCTACTGTCTGTCTGTCCTCTATGTCCTATGTGAGTGTCCGTGAGTGACTCGGAATGATGCCTCTCGACCCAGTTAGCCGATTGCCGCTTCTGGCTGGGATTTGGCACAGCGCCGAGCTTTGTTGTCAATAATTGCATTGATGATGATGATGATGATGGCGATGCCGTGATGGGCGATGATGCTGAAGGGCCACGGCCAGGGGCAGGCGGTGCGGTGCGGTGCGGACTGGGTATTAATTGGGCTTTAAGCAAAGCTTAATTGGTAATTGGCAGACGGGTGGGCAGCCAGAGGCCAGCAAGAGGAGCACAAAGAGAGAAAGAAAATGCTGAGCAGCAAAGAAACGAATGAAAAGAGTTAAGTGGAAGGTGGCATTGGCGTTGGACTGGGGAGCAAGTGGCAGGGATAGGACGAGTCAGGTGTGGCCAAAAGGTGACTCCGATCTCTAGCAAAAGCAGATGCCAGAACACAGAAAGCAAATGCTGAGAAGCGCAGGAAATAATTAAAAAAGAGTTAGCCAAAAGTAGAGACAGAAACGGCCATAACCAATCGGAACGTTCCTCGACATCCAGATACCTCTGGACACAAGGAGCGAAATTTCAAATTTGAACAGATTAAAAAGGTTTCATGACGTGACCCCGACCGCTAATTCAATCAGCAGACACAGCCTCCTCCTTCAACGAGAATGTTTCGTTCCGGCCCTGTTGTTTACGGGCTTACAAATTCCACTGATTGCCGATGCCCAAAAGCTCCCCGTCGCCACACATGCGTCAGTTGAACGGTTATGCAGGGGGGGGGGGGGGGAGGGGGGAGGTGCCACAGGAGCTGAACAGGCTGAAAAATTAGTACAGTAATCCCCCCGCTAAGACTGACAATTAGATAATGCGGCCGGGGCTTAGGCGACCTTGTTGCCTCCATTGTTGTGGCAACACTTCAATCTCCAGCTCCATCTCCACCTCCACCTCCACTTCCTCTTACTTTTCCACTTAATTCGGTGTCGATGGCCCGCGGTGAGCGAGTGTCCTCTCATCTAACCAAAGTCGTCCCCCCATGGTGATTGCTGCTCTTCTGACGGCGTTTATCGTCGGCGCCTAATGAGCCATGGAACTTAATAAGCAAACACTTGTAATTACTTCTTCCCGGGACAGGGACAGGGACAGGGACCGGGACGCGTATGGAGAGCCCATGTGCCACAGAGTGTGGCCTGAGTGTCGTGTGCGTGCGGCATGGTCGAGCACGAAGCTGGCGAAGCTGGCGAAGCTCTGCCGGCCATAAAGTGTGATTCGTTTGGGAGGGTATCGAAGGGGGGATGTGTCAGACACGGACATGGGCCCACGGTCATGGACAAACACACGGCTGGATTCGGCCATAAAGCGCGCATAGTAAATTGAATTTTGTTGCCTTTTGCGGCGACCTCCGGCTCGGGTTTGATGTACGCCCTTCCCCACACTCTCACACTCTCACACTCGCACACTCTCGCAGTCCTATACTCGTGTGCATGTGTGTGGCAAGGACACACTGGAGTAACGCATTGGAGCAACAGGACCTGCTTTACGAGGGGCTCTGCTCAGCTACTCGGGCCATTTTAGGTGGCACTCTTCTTTTCAAGTTTATGTGAGGTTATGTTCAGTTTATGGCTGGCTTACCTCCCCTTCAGGGGGAACGGTGCAGCACCGTCCGTGTCTGGGTAAGTGCTGCAAATTATTTGGATATAGAAAGCTAGGGACAGGACAAGGGTTGGCGACACAGACACCGGGTCCCAGTTGATCAATTTGATTTCATTTTCAGGTACAGACACAGCCAGAGGAAAAGAACAGGGACAGGTACAGGTACAGTCAGGCATCGTACATTTGGTAGGTATAATTTATCCTTTGCCGCATATTTTCCCTTAAATTGATTACATTTCTCATTCGCTTTCAAATCCGATTCAAGAGGCTGTGGCCATAACAGATGCCTGATCTGCCCTCTATATATATTATGTCTGCTGCTCATTTGTCATTTCTGTCTTTTGAAAAGTTCCCCATACTTGCACGGACTCTCCTCCCGCCATATTCCGAAAGTTTTGCCAGATTCCCGGCGTCGATTGGTCAACCGTTTGTTGGGTGGTCATTTCCGCTGCGGCCAATTGATGGCTGATTGGCTGCGATGGCTCGGCTTCGCTGCGTGTGGGTGGACCGCTGCAACTATTTGTTGCATACTTTATGCCCCAGACCCCCCCCTCGTCCGCGGCCTGCGCCTCTACTTTGGCTCTGTCACCCAATCGACAGCACACGCTCAAAAAACTTCGATACGCGTAACAGCCGCATCAGCCCACCGTCACCGTCATCGTCATCGTCACCGTCACCGTCATTTAGCCGTAATGCCCCTTCGTGCATGCCCTTCTTGGTCGTATTCGTATTGCCTCTGCTGGTTGTTATGACGCCGGACTCGTGTCCGTTGCTTCCACCTGTTGGCTGATCAGCTGAAGGACCGCCCCAGTCGAAGTCTGGATTTCCTTTCCCCAAAGCCGCATAAGGGGTATAGGGAAATCATACTACGAGGAACGAAGCAGAACTGAAGGAAAATGCAATATGGAGTGGTGAGAATATTACAAAACAGAGAAAGTACAAACACTAATTAAACTAATTTCAAGTGAGCAAATTGTCGAAAGCTGATTCCATTTCCAGATCGTATTGGAAATTCGATCGCCATTCCGCTATTTTAAGGCCTCAATCCTGGTATGGAAAGGTATTGCCCGACATTGGCCATATACTCGTTCCGGATTCCTTTACCCACCGCCCCCTTGGACTCCCTGGGCTCTGGAAAATTATTGCCTTTCACAATTACAATTGTAATGGAGAATGAGAGTTTTACGGGAGAATTCAACTTTTGTGCGTGGCATTGAGGGGCAGCCAGAAAGGCAAAATGCCGTCTTTTGTTGCCTCCACCGTCGATGCCGTCGATGGCGATGGCGATGACGATGTGGATGTGGATGTGGATATCGATGCCGATGTGGATGCCGACAGGACAGTCGCCAGCAGCTGCCGCCAGTCGCCTGGTTATGGCTGCACTTCCTCCCCTTTGCAGCCAGTCGCAGTCACACAGCGCCTTCCATATGTCGCCTGCCATTGGGTTCAATGCGGGCTTTGTTTTTGTGTCCTTTTTGCCAAGTGCAACGGGAATTGGTATTGCCATGGAAACGGCACAAGGGAATGCACATGGAGATGCAAAACCAGATACAGATGCGAGTGCGGATACGGGCGGACCTGGACCTGGAGCTGGAGATGGAGATGGGAGTGCATCGCTGTCATCGTCGTCGCTTTCGTCGCTGTCGTCGCAGCTTTTGGGCATTAACCGCGCTAACGATGGAAGCCGGCGAAGGGTCGGGGCCTGCAATAAAGTCAGTTGACTTTATGAACGCATTTGATTGTTTTGGCCATTTGCATTTGGCCATTTCAAGCGACATTTTGCTACAAAACGGACAGCAAGAGGATGGGAGAATGCTTGCCAGAATGGCGTAAAAGATTGAAGGCACACGATATTCTTGGTAGAATGGAGATGGAGAAACGTAAGGGACATTATTTAGAATACCAATATGCCGAACACATGGTTCAATCCTTAACCTAATAGATCTCTGAAGCATTTTCCGTTTTATAGAGCATTAACGATTAATGAGTTGGAGTTGGACGGCAGTCGGGACGACCAACATCAAAGCGTATACAAAGAAAGTGCCTTATTTAAACAAAGATACATACATATGTATATCCTATGATTTGTAGATGCAGGAATCAGCTTCAGCGGCCCAATATATATTGATTGACTATCAGATGTTGTTTGTTTGGGGTTATACAATGTCCTTTTAAAGGAAAAACCGACCGAACCTTCAGGTTTCAAAATAATTTCAATGGAAAGTGGATCAGACCTTCAGCGTTAGTCGATGTATATATGCTTCTTGCGGGATCCTGTGCACACAGCTGGAACTGACAAATATTCGCCATTCTAAGATGCCTGGTAAACTACATACATATATCCTTTAATTGGAATGGAGGATTTTGACAGGAAGACCAAAGCAGACTGCGATCTCTTTCTATTTTGTCCCGCAATTGCCTGAGAGCTGGGAAAAACATAGAGAGAAACCACGACCTCTAGTTTGATCTAATGTAATGTTTTCTCTCTTATCTCACACCAACAACAGCCGTTATATCTCGCTCCTCTCCGACAGGTGGCAAAGACTGCACGGCGAACAGTGTGTGGGAGAGAAAGAGTAAGCACATGGAAGGAGTAGCATACGCATGGTAAATTAATTTGTTCCTTATGGCCTTTATAATCTGTTAGATATAGCCCTTCTCTATGATTCTGAAACAAAACTTAAAACAAACTCGCCAGATTAGGAGATCTGTTAGATACAGTCCTTTATAATTATGAAAAGCAACTTGAAGCAGACTTGTTGTAGTGTAATGTTGTAGGATTCAGCACACAGTGTAATTGCCCTTGCAAGACGGACAGGGGAACGGAAACACTTCCGTTTCTTAGCACAAATCGACCTCATTTATGTTAGCACGATTTGATGCACGGAGAATTTTGTTTTGAGGCGACATTTATTCTAAATATCAGTTTCGTCCAGGCCCTTTTGTGGCCCAGTGCGATATGCCAGTGGATGGATCTTGAACCCATAAAGTCTGGGGAATCGAACGGGTATATGAATAAAAATTAAATCATAAATAGATAATTTTTCAACCCACCTGGGCACAAACTTGGTCTTTGAACGCTTGGGTCGCGCCTCCGGCTTGACCATGAACAGCATTTGGGGGAAGTTAGTGCCGAAGAAGGCGCCATCCAGGTTGCGATGGCGACCGGACTTCGGAGTGTAGATGTCGTTGCACTTGGGGCAGTAGAGACGCACCATTTCCTCGCCGGGAGTGTCGCTCAGGCCGATGGGCAGCACGTGCTGGCGATGGCAGAAGACGCGTGGGCATGTTCCAAAGACGCCCTTGTGGAACTTCTTGATCATCAGATCAATGCCGCGATCGGTGAGGATGAAGCGGGCGTGGATCATCCCGTAGAGCTTCTCGGCGCTTTCGTCCACCTCGGACTGGGGTCCATTATCGGAGCGGGACCCTGAGTTCAGGTCGAGGATCACATCGAGGGCGCTGCTATAGTTTCTCAACTCCGTGTCCAGGAACATCAGGTTGAACTTGTCGCGGATGTACTCCTCATCCACGAATGCAAAGAACTCGTTTCCGCGCTGCTTGCAGAACCATTGTATCCAACCGGTCTCGTCGGATTCAGTCATTTTTGTAGAATATTTTATTTTCGTCAGAGATCCGTAAACAATAACTGTATTTCGGCCTCTCTGTTAGTGAGAGTTTTTCCAGCAGGACTACTTGATTAAAAATCACAAAATCTGTTTTCGTTTTCATAGGCTCCTTGGCCTATTCAGTTCAGACTATAATTTTCAATTGATATTTCTAAGCCGACCTACTATGATGCCGAACAAAAACGGAATGCTTCTTTTCGTGGAGATTCATGCGAGACTTTAATGCGTTGTATGGAGGATGCGGATTAGTAGTGGAGGAGTTTCTGGATCATCAAGCGACAGTGTAGGCAATCAGTAGATGGGGTATACGACTTGGGGAGCAAGCAATGGATGACCAAATGTAATTCCAGCCACCAACATATGTATTATTATGGTATAGAAACCTAGAGCTAATTTAAGCCATGTTTGCAGGAAGAAGCGGCGAGTCTGCTCAGCTTGTGGCAGGATATTTGGAGTGCACAACGAACCAAACAAAGTACAAAAAGCTTCCATTTAAACTCAAAATTTGAGTTTATTTGAAGTACAGTTCAAATGAAATGGCTTGAAAATAGACCCCGCTTAAAATGGATTCTGCACATCTCAAACACATGTCCAATCAGTTGGGGGAGTAGTCGTACCCAGGCAGAGCATGAGAAACTTTCGTCGAGCAAAAAGTTTGAATTGCTATTGACCATTAATCACTTATTGGTGAATTGAAAAGATTGAAAGCGTTCTATGAAGATACTGAATATACAGCGCAAATACGAGTACGTGTGCAGGGTATGGGTACTCTTGTATAGCTAAATGAGGGACTTCTGGGCGAAACAAAAATACGTCCCTCACAGACACTAGTCCGATTGAATGGGCCATGGTAAAAGTTTCATTAAAGCCGTAAATGCGAGCGTAAAAGCCAAGAAAAAGACGAATGGAGCGGGATGGAACAGAGAGAGAAAGAGAGGGCCAGCCGTAAATAAAAATCCAAGAGGAATGCAAAACACAGTCAACGGAGCCACACATACGCGTACGCGTAGGCCCGGCTACGGCTACAGACATGCTCTAAAATGCGCATCCAGAAGAGAGTGTGAAAAGGACACACACGCACATGCATACGCACACACTGAGACAATAATCAGGAGGCAGGCTATGGCTCTGGCTCTGGCTCCTGACTCTGATTGTGGGCTCTGACTTACTCCGGGTCCTGGTTCCTGCTACGGCATCAGTTACGGCTCTGTCTCTGTATAGGGCCTTGACTGCCATTTGCAATCTTCATTTCCATCATCATCTGCGCATCTCTCGCATCATAATCAACATGAAAATCAAATTTGAATTTATGAAGCACCAGAATGGTGCAGAGCGGTGGAGCAGTGGCAGGAGCACGAATAAGGAGCAGCAGAGGGAGTGTGCTTACATTTCCTCATTTTGTGTGCTTTTTTTTTTGGTTTTTGGTGCCCTTTCAGTGGGTTTTATGATTTTGAGCAGATGGTTGCCAAGCACAGAGGCATCCAAAATAGATATACCTGCCATAGCTTTGTATAGAACGATCTCTTGATAAATAAGTACTTCCAAAAGAACCAAGTCATCTACTAATCGAACAGCCATGTGTAGTATAACATATAGATTTCATGGGAACGATTGAACTGTAAGTGTATTAAACGCTTCGGGGCCATAGGCTAGCGTTCCTTTGTTGTTTTTTTCGTTGTGCCAGCGTTGTTGTTGGTGGGGCAATAAGCGGCAAAACATGCGTTGCATTCAAGCCACATCGATGTGTGGCTGGGAAGGGAAGGAAAGCGAATGAATGCGAAGGGCAGACATAGGGATACCACTAGATATCCCATATCCCAATGGGGGCTTCAGTCTGCCTCGCCTCATTTATTCATTTGCTGCAATTACATTCGTTTTCCTTTGCCCTGCTCCGACATACATTCGGCATTTCGCGTCTGCTGCCGTTGCTGTTGCTGTTGGAGTTGTTGGTGTAGTTGGTGTATTGGTGTTGGTGTCATTTGCTGGTTAAATGAAATCATTTAGCATAGTTTTCGGCGCCCGGTGGAGAAGCCTTTACGACGTACCATGGATTGAGGGTCATATTGATATTAAAGGGAATATGTGTGGAATTGGAAAAGGGAGCCGTCTGGAGATATTGCGGCATCGGAAAGGAAGCGGGTGGTGGAGATGGTCCGAGTGAGATACATAATGATGAGTTGGAACTCTAGGAAGAGTTGCAAGAACGGGACGAGTGTGGGGAAAATAAGAAGAGTGGATATAAGCTTAAAAAGAAGATTTGACAAAGGCCCAAAGCAGAACGGTATGAGATAAAGTAGCAGAAACTTCAAAGAAAGTACAGACATTTGCCGAAGTTTAAGAGAGATTCAGAATATCACCGCAAGGAAGGAAAAAATAAATAAACATTTGATTCCAAGCCTGTCAGATTGGATCCCAGAGATGCATTCAGGTGAAAGAAATTCAAGAAGGGAGCCATGAAATATAAAGTCAGATCACTAACGACTTGAAGTCATCATCCATAAATGTTCTATGTGGCTTCCCCACATGTTCACTTGCGGCCTATTTAATTCCATTTCCTATTAAATTAGTGCCTCCCCTCTACTCCAATCCACTTCATTCCACTCTTTCATCTTCTCTCCTCTCCTAGGTATCTTTCTCTTTTTCTTATAATAGATTGAATTGAAATTGGACTTGGTCTTGGGGCTGCTTTGTGTTTGATTCTAATCTCCTTTTGTCGCTGTCTCGTCTCACGTTAAGCAAACATTACGTATTACGTATGTACACTTACGTCATATACTTTTACGTTTGATTGTTGCTCGGAACGGTGCCAGTGTGGTGTGTGTGTGTGAGTGCCCAGGATAAGTATCAACTAAGCAGTGGAAATCTGTTGTTATGGCTAAAAAGCTCAAACCCACGACCTGCCCTGTGCTCTGTGCACTGTGCTCTCGACTCTCTCTCATCCGCCTCCGCCTCCGCTCTTCTCCCATCTCTTACTGTTTCTTCTGCTCCAAAGTATATTGATACGAAGGTGAGCCAGCACCCGCGGTCCTCGTGCTCAATGAAGGTAGCTCTTGGGGACTGCCTTACCTTCTGCTTAAAGTAGCTTGCAATACTCCCACTTCAACCGCCCCTCTATCGCCCTTTGGCCCACACTTCTCTCTTTTCTCATGTGCTAAACATTGTCAATGCCATTGTTCTTTCTCTTATTGTGGGCCAAAGCCATATGTGTTCCTGTCTTTCTCTGCTTTCTGTGTATGTGTGTGTGTGAGGGGATGCTTCCCCCTCTAACCCCTGTCACCCCCACACCCTTATCAGGCACTCTTCCCCCCTCGCCGTTTGCCTGTCTGTGTTTGGGTTGCTGTTGACTTCGTTTGTTGTTAAGTTTATCTCGCACTGCACTTGTCTTGTTCTTATCTGGATCCTGCTCCTTTCCCTCGTCTCTGGCTACCATTTCTCTCTTTTCTCTCTTCCCTGTCTCTTGCTCTCTGTCCCTCTCTTCTCCTCCTGGAGGAGGCTCTTTCTCTTTCTCTTTCTTCGCCTCTTGATGCCTTTGTTGGGACCTGGAGCTGTTGTTCCTATTGTTGTTGCTCCTTTGCTGTCAGCTGTTGTTTGGCCTTTTGTTATTATTTATTTGTATTGTAGAGTGAAGGGTTTGTTCCCCACTCTCCACTCTCTCTGTCTCTCTCTCTTTAGCGGCACCTTCTTCAAGGCCAACTCCCTGCCATATTGGCTCGTAAATTTCTTTTTTTATTATCAGTTTAAATTTAATTTATCTCAATGGTTGAATGGGAGTGCTGCACAGACCGTTGTGGTGCAGAGAGGGACTTGCTGTGGTGTGCTTTGGTTTTGTTTGTTGTGTGGGGTCGCAGGTTAGGGGTGTGCGGTGTGTGGTGTGGGGTGTGGGGTGGTGAAGGACAAGTGCAAATGAACACATCAAAATCAAAATGCCAAAAACCCGACGAGCCCCGTAAAGTATGCAGCACAAAGGACGTGGGATAGCCCTGTGTGTGCGGGTATCTGTGCCTGTGTGGCTGTATCTCTGAGTCTTTCTGTGCGAGTGTGTGAGTGTGTGAGCGTGTGGGTGGGTATCGGCGTGTGGTTATATCCGAATGTGTTTGTGTTGCCATTGCTGATGCTGTTTTTCCCGTTTGATGCGTAACTTTTGAACTCATTTTATCGTTAAGATTTCGTTTTGTGGCCTTCAATTTGAATTCTTTTCGCTTTTGCTTTCCCTCCTCCGACTTTTCCCTTTTATTGGATATGTGTGTGTGTGTGTGTGCGATGACCCTTTGGAGACCTATTAACCTAGCGACCCCTCTCGGTCACGCCCTACGAATACTTATTAGACTGTAATCAGCTTGTGGCCGGAAAATGGGCAACTGGTGGTCTGGTCATCCAGCAATTGCTTTCTGCCACCGCTTCGATTTCGATACGGGCACTCTGATTGCGAGGGTTTTGGTGGCGTCCATCGAGGCCTTCGAGAAAAGAGTCGGGAGAGGGCAACTGTTAATCAGAATGGGGCCCAGACGGAGGCGAAGGATGGGTGTAATGGTATGCCGTTGTGGGTGGTGCATCATCAACGGCAATTTCAACTATAATTTTCATCTAATTTGAATTGATTTGCCTTTGGGACGGAACCTGATCGGATTTGGGAATAAGCTTGGCTATCATACCCCCAAAATGATATGTAAATGGGAATGGGGGAATATTTTAAATTTGAGAGGGAATTTGTAGAACCCTCAAAGGTGTTTATATGCACATTTGTATATAGTAATCGTCTAGGTAAATGGAAATCTCTGTGGCTGATACATTGACTGATCGTATACTCTGTGCGGATAAAGAAATAATAAAGATTATTATTACATTGGACTGTCTCTTTTTCCATCATTTCCAACCAGGAGGGGTGTTTGAATATCGTTTTCTTGATCTGCACATTTTTCTATAGTCATTTGATCAGTAGCTTTAAGCCTTCTTCACTTTGAATCTACAACATTTTTCCAATTTCGTGGTCTTTGCTTGTACGGGTATAATTCGATTATGAAGTCCTTACAC